GGTTTCAGACATATCCTAGTATGCAATATCGACATGGAGGTAGTACTCTTGTCTCTATTCTTGCTTTTGCTGATGATATGATTATATTTACCAATGGACAAAAGCAATATATCAAAAGGGTCGTCAATTGTTTGGAGCACTACGAAAGGGTCTCTGGCTAATTAGTGAATAGAGACAAGAGTGGTCTTATATTTCCTAGACGGGCGTTTGATATTTAAATACGGAGTTAGTGATTTTGACTGAATTTTCACATCAGAGACAGCCGTTCACATATTTAGGAGTCCCTTTTTTTAAAGGGGCTAAGAAGAGCTTTCTGTATGATGATCTCATTATAAAGGTCGGGAGAATGATTTTTGGATGGGCTTCACGTCTTCTTTCTCCCATGATAGGATTACTCTACTGAATACTGTTATCTCATCTATACCACTGTATCTATACTAGATAATGCGACCTCCTAAGGTCATTCTGAAAAAACTGGAGAGTATATTTGTGTGATTCCTATGGGATTCTAAGGATCAAGGGCATCGTCTACATTGACGGAGTTAGCAGGCGATTTGCCTTCCTTCTGGTGAAGGAGGTCTGGGCTTTAGATGATTACAGGATATGGTGGATACATTTTCATTGAAGCTTTGGTGGATGTTCAGGTTTCAGAGTTTTCTTTGGGCTTAGTTTTTATTGGGCAAATATTGTAGAGTACCACATCCGTCGCTTGTAATAGCTCCTCATTCAGCCTCTTCTATTTGGAAGAGACTAAAAAAAATTGGACCATGCACCGGGACACACATTGTGTGGTGCCTTGGGATATGGTAGATCTTCTTTTGGCATGATTGTTGGATAGGTGATTCTACATTAGCATCCATTTTTCCACACAGACAGCACACATCTGCGAGGGTGCATGTTTTTTTCGAGGTGATTGGATGGGATTTTGGGCGATTACTTCAGGCTCTTCCATGAGCTATGGTAGAGCAGATTGCAGCCATTCCACTATGTTTTGATGTTTCAAATCTCATTTTCTGGAGGGCCACGTCAGATGGTAGATTTTTTACTAAATCAGCATGGCAGCTGAT